TTTTGTTGCTGTTGCAACTATGCCCCTTCGTCAGGATGAGGTGGACGAAATGCGGACGAGGCATTCCTCGGCAACTAGTGTACGCAGGTTGAGAATACTTTTGCGTGTATGTTGTTCTTCAAGATGGTTTTCTGTGTGGTTTCAAATAGACCGAGGGAACACATTGAAGAAATATGCGTCTCAAGGTGTACGTTTAAGAACTTGGGATGCTCAACGTAGCACTGCATTTTTAAGTATCCCTGATAAGAACTCATGATGAAGGGATGGCGTTACCGATATAATGATGGGAAGACTTTTCTGCAGGGTTCTTGCCGGGTTCGTCCTACTGTCGTCAAAATTAAGAATATTGCATTCTGATTTATAGTGATTTTTCTGCGTTTGGTTCTCGATCTTATTTGGCTCGTAACAATCAAGTTGAAACCTCAGGCATCGGGGTCAGGGACTTTGAGAGATCCGTTGTCTGACAATGAGTTACTTGATGAAGACATGGGTATGGCAAAGCCAGCTACAACCCCTGCCTCCCTCAAACTTCGTGGCTTGGAGACTCCATTCCCCCATCCTCCTGTTCCCGTGGCTTTGGCTGCGAAACCTGATTCCAGTCCAGCTGCCAGCCCCCCTTGCCCGGCCCCCCCATCCAAGCCTGCAACAAGCCCAGAAACTGGTGTTGCTGGCAGGCGGGCTGGATTGGCCATTGCTGGATCCCGCCCAATCCTGCCCGAAAGACCTCCTAACCCAACCCTGCCAAGCCCGCCAATGTCACCAGAAGCTGTAGGAAGCCCTGCCTCCCATTTGACACCCCCGGGTCCATGCCCAGCTTATTCAAGTGAGGGCGAAGGGGTTGAACTCACAACCCCACCGCCAAAGCTTTCCAAGCTTCCCGGATTCTTGGCTTTTAATCGGGTACTGCAGGGTTCTCTACGAGAGTTAGATTCTTCAAGATAAGTCCCGCGTGCAATAGAAGATCACTTATATTATATACTAAAAATAAGTATGTTCAAAATTATCTTACGACCTATTCGTGAACCTGCTTCCTGTATAAGGCGCCTCTGTAATCACCCATTGTACCCACCTAGGTGACCTCCAGAAGCTGACCCCAGAGCAGAAGAAACGGAAGTTGGAAATGCAGAAGCAGCTTCTGCAGGCCCAGCTACGACTCAAGTCGCCTCTAGACTAGCAATGGCTATGGTGTTATATTTCAAGCACTGATGCAGCCTCGTATTTGCTTGCAAATAAAAGTATATAGAAAAACTATATTCCCCTGACGCCCAACATCAGATGGCTTACCTACAGGAACACGATCACCTACCTGGCCGCAAACTTTCCTGGTAACATAGCGTAATCCCCGGAGTGCTGCGCAAAGGAAGTATAAATGTATATGTTTTATACAATTGCGAAATTGACTTACCCTGCCCAGTCCATCAAATCCAGGCTTCGCTGCTCCAGCCCCACGGTGAAGGAGACTTTTCGTCCGGATCCTCCTGCGGCAGCTCCCATGGTTAGCAAACGGACTGCAAAGAGGCATTCAAACCTGTTCATGGCATGATTCCCTAATTTTTTTGCGGAATACTTCGGAGTACGCTTGCAGCGCACATGTCCACATCATAATTCGTTTCGGATTTTGGAACTTTGCTTCACCAATTAAGGCTATGCTATGGATACTGATGAGACCCAGCCTGTGCCAGTCAATGATCTTGCAACCCCAGACAGGCTTTCCTCCCATGAACAGCTTGAGCCTGACACCCCTGTCACTGTTGCAATGCTTCGGGAAAGCTTCCAGCTTAGAGAGCCAAATAAGACGGAGCCCGCTGCCCCCCGTGACACTTCCCTTCCTGCGTTGCCTGCCCCAACCATGCCTGACACGGAAAAGCTTGACGGACCCGGTGAAGCTGTGCCCGAGCCTGTTCACGTGGAGGACGAGGAGCCCCCGCAGGCAGCCTCATTTTGCTTTGCGTGTGCGCTGCACAAACGTGTTGTCTCATGTTGGCCATTCTAACGCTGTGATTTTTTGCCAAGGTTCCCTAGCCCGTCATGCTGCATGTACATATAGAAGCTAACTGGCAGGTTGTAGCGATCGCAATGTAGAATGAACAGGGGCTTTCTGCATATGACATTATAACGCTTGCTGAGTCTCGCGCTGTAGCTATGGCTTCTGGTCAGGTACTCCTGCGGCGTGAGCAGTTGGCTGTGCGAAAGGCGAAAAAGGATGCCAACAAGGCAGCCAAAAGCAAGGGCAAAGGAGGGTTCGCTAAAGAGGTCCAAGAGCTTGAGCAACCTCAAAAAGGTGAGGGAGAACGTGCAGGGCAAGAAGAACCCTTCCAGTAGCTCCAAGCCCACGCACAAGGCATGGGAGAAGGTTTGGAGTAGCGAGGAAGGTTGGTGGGACAACACCTGGTGGGGCTTTCGGGGTGAGGCTGAGTGCGAGCAGTGGGAGCAGGATGAAAACGGTGAACTTGTGCTGGTGGAGCAGGCCAAGGGGAGCAAGAAGCCTAAGAATAAGGTAAGTGCCGCTGTCGCAGCGAAGCCTGATGAGCCCAAGAAGAATAAGGCGAAGGCTACCCCGAAGGCCACCCCAACCCCAAAGTCCAAGACCACGAAGGGGAAAGCCGCGAAGCCAGACAAGCCGTTCCAAAACCCTACTCCCAAGGATAAGGCAAAGGCAAAGGCCAAAGCCAAAGCAAAAGCAGCAGACCGTGCAAGCCACGAGGAGGCTGTGGATGGCGTGCTTTTGTGGCTTGATTACGTAGACCTCGAGAATCCCGACCTAGACGCCCTGAAAGCATCCCTCAACATGTACATTCCTACGTTGGCCGGAAACCTGAAGCTGAACAAGTACTGGAGTCGCTCTTCGGTTGGTGTTACCCTTCACTATGTAGACGATGACAACAAGAAGCAGCAGAAGGATATCCTTTACTTCAGCTTTGAGAAGTCTAACGCTGGTATGTGTTTGGCAGTGGCATGCGCATTCCACTCGGCTGCTTGCTTTCAACAATAAGCTTGCGTCAATGATGCTGATGATTTCGTTGTGAAGCCTGAACCCGAATTCCCAGCCTTCAACCTTTCATGCCTGCGCTAAAGGTTCGGGAGATGGAAGAGCAGGAGATTGTCGACCCAGAGGACGACAGGATCCCTGAGTTCAAGATGAGGTGGAAGGAGATTGGTGCCGAAGCCTACCAAATGTACCTGACAGCCCAGTCTGAGGATTAGAGTACTTTGGGATTATCTACCTTATGAAAAGGATCATTGCGTTTCAAGCTTGAAAGCTGCTTGCTTGTGTGGATCCTCATGTTGTGAACGCGCGTATGTGTGTTTGCGGCAGCATTGCTAAATGAGTGGCAGACGGGCTGCGACTCTTCGTAGGAGCTTTGCATAGTCCGCTAGCGCAGATAGGCCTCATCACAAATGGGGTAGTAGGTGCAATGCAGCTTGCAGCATGTGCCGAAAGTGTGCGTGCTGTCAGTTTTGAGCAGCCGCTGGCCCTCGTGCGATATGTGTTTTCAGCACATCAAGCCTATAAAAAGTATATCTAACATATTATTTCAACCTGAAGGGGGCATGCTTGAATCCAACCAAACATTTCAGGCGTGGGCCAGCTGTGCTGACATGTTCCTTTGCTGATCACGCAACATCATAGGGCTTTACATTTCACGCTGGGGAACAATTCCGTTCAGAAAATGGCCGCTGGAAAGAAATTCTACTTGCAACTTCCGCAAGCTGCTCCAAAAGCTTTATTCACATTATTGGAAGCCTAGGCTCCTGCGTGATCTATACTTGGTTCTCCTGCGCCCAGGCCTTGCGATGGGTCGACGACGGAAAGTGACTCATGCCCGACGCGCCAAAAGGCGCAAAGGTTGTGCCAAGCGTCTGCCCAGCCAAATTGTCAAGCTTGTTTGATGCGCTCTTGTTTTTGGGATAACTTTTATATGCTGTGCGCTGAAAGTGATTTTGCTTTCCGAACGTAGCCTTCTCAAGCGCAGCTCTGCTTTGCACTCATCTACCAGCAGAGCCCTGTGTGGTTTCCTAATCTGTTTACTCTTTAGTCGATCTATGGGCCTGGCAAATAGAGCGGTATAACAGCGTACCTTTCATGAGCCCCGAGAAAATCCCCTGGGAAAGTGAATTGCCTTTCTCAACACTGTGCTTTGCGAAGTAGCCTCCGCGCGGAAGTAAGCTGTGTGTTTCTCCGCAGGGAACGCCATAGGCCCTTTCTGTGCCCCTGGCCGTGCCTGTAGTTTCGCCACGATGATTCCGATTGATTTGCTTGTGCACAGACTCATGAAATTGGGTTCGCCCCGCGTTTCCTGACTGACTGGAATAGTTTCTGCTTTTGTTCTCATTCTGCATACGATCTATCTAATTTCTGGACTACTCTTTCTGGGTTCATGGTGCATTGCTTGCAGTGTATCGTTCGCAAAAATTAGAACCCAGAGACCGAAGCCAAGCGAATACAACCAAAGTACGCAAAACAAGCTTTGTGTCCTTCTAGACGGTTCTATCACCAATACCCCTATATGCATGCATGTCATGCCCGCACTGTGAGATGCCCGCGCCAAGCAAGCTAATTCTGCAAAATTATTCAGCGCGAGTAGATTTGCGCATGGAATTGAGTACTGTCCTCCCTGCAATACTTGTATTAATCGACCATTTCAGAGGTGCTGCTTGTAGATATAGCCCTTTACAGCGCCATATTTGGACCAGACCCCGCAGTTTTTTCACTGAGTCCAAAATAATCTCCCCGTAGCAGCGTAAATAGACTTAAGTCATTTTGTTTTTATTGCGTCTGGGTCTGGGAATTCGGTAAAAATCTGCAGCGCGCTCGCTGGGTGCTTATAAGAATATATATAATATTTGGGCTAAGTTACGGTTAATGCGCATATTTTACTGAATTCCCAGACCGAGATGCAATCAAAACAACCCCAGGCAGATCTCACCAAACTGACTTAATTGATATATAGTTACCCGATCAACCCTTCTACTCCCAGGTTTTCGTGCTGCTCGTCCTCATGGTCATCTGGACGGAGGGTCTTTACGATCTCTCGGAGGCCTGCCCAGGGATATTTAAGTGATGCGCGCGCGAGCTTACAGTACTACCAAGTTTAGCACCTCAGTTGTGCGATGGCATATGAAGTATGGTCTCATGGCACATCCCATCCTTCTGCATTCTTCTTCTGTACAAAGACGCGAGCGGATAATATGTGACTGTCGTGTTTTGATTATTATCTATATGGGGTTCTTGGATTGTCTCACGCGTGCGCGGCAAGGCCTACGACTGGGTGGAGTACTTTGCTGGCACGGCAAATGCCACTCGTGCAGCTAGACTTCGAGGTGCAGCTGGGGCGCGGTTTGATATTGCGTACTTTGAAAGGGACAACGCCGAACACTGCAAAACGAACTACATGGACATCACATCCCCCTCGGGGTTCTGGCTTCTCAGAGAAGATTATGAAGTGATATAGCCAATTAAAAGGGTTTGTAATATGCACATACAAGTTACACAATGGCTTTGGCGGGATGATGTTAGTTGTTCTGACGTTCCCTACAAAGTGGTCACACATGCAAGGCTCGGTAGGCGTGTCAGCACAATTCACATCGAGCAATCAAGTCTGATCCATTATACTGTCAACAGGTCAGCAACTAGTAGCGTGATCGAGAATGAGGCAAGCAACATGCGCTCTATGTAAATACATGAACTGAGTGGGGCCCATACCTGATCCTGCGTGCAGCTTACCTACAGAGAACTTAGACTGCGCGTGCGCGCTTGTTCTTTTGATTGTGACTAGCTAAGTTTGGCAATCATCTTCTTGCTGAAGGGCAAGGCCAATGACTTCGTGGCCTGGTATGGTCTGAAATGTTCGAGCTTTTGCAGGGTGAACCAGGGTACTTCTGGAAGGAGTGCTTCTTCAACTGTTGGCTACGGCTTCCAGCCAACTGTCATTGAAGGGAACTGCATGCTTCAAAGGACACCTGTGGGATGGGAGGGTTGCGCATTGCCTTCTTACGGTTGCAAATACTTCATGAGTACGTCGCTTAAACTAATGTTTTACACGGCTGTATAACCCTGTACAAGCCAATTCCCTCAAACAGCTTCTTGCCTTGTAACCTTTGCACGGCATGTCTTTTATGTACTTGCCGACCAAATCACCCCTAACACAGCCCAAGCCACAAGCCTCTCACTGAAGTGTCTAAGTTGCTTTATAAAGCATGCCTTGCAAGCCCCTTTTCCTCCCAAGAATTGCTGATCTGTAAGCCCCTAGATAGCATTCTGGCCCAACCATATCCCCTATAAACGATCAAGCCCCAAACTGGCCAAAACTGTTCCAAACCCAGGGCTTATTACATCCATACACTTGCAATTGGGGCCCCATAGTGGAAACAGTTTTGAGCTCAGGGATTTCTAGAATGCTGTCTGGTTTTTCAAAATCGTTATTGAGGTACCAAAAGGGCTCTCCGGCTCTCATATACCCTAGAAAGGAACGATTTATATCCAAGCTTGTAGAGACCTGCTGCCTATGCATGGTAGCTACTACATAGTTTCCCTCCCTGCAGGGTATGCTTATTGTGCCAGCTGACTACAGCGTTGGGAGGGACATGGATCTTGGAACAACCAGGAGGAAGCTTAGCAGAATATCATCCAGTGTGGCGCAGCCTCCTTGTCCATCTGTACCAGATCGGTGGCGTTGGAGCGGCGCCCGCCTAAATCATGATGGGATCTGAGGGGAAACCTAAATGATTAGGGGCATTGACTTGGATTGTTGGGGGTTCCATAGAATTCCGTTTAATGCGCCTCACCTAGGTGAGCAGAGTTGGCTGGTACGTGGGTGCGTTCTTTGCCAAGTCGTTGAAGAGACAGTATGCTTATTCCAACAGCCCAGCTATTCGAGCCCTCGATCGCAGCCATCTACAAGGAATTTACCGTGGCAGGTTGTGTCAGGCCGCAAAAGTGAAGACGGCTAATGTCTACTTCGATAAGAAAGGCAAAAAACGGTTCATCGGCACATCCCAATTGAAGAACACAGAGACTCTTGCTTTCTTTGGTTTCTACGCAGTGCGGGTTTCTGGTGTACTAAGAAAATAAGGTGTGCAATGATCATTATAGTATATAGGCCGGTTGAACTATTATAGACATTTTCTATACTCTTAGCGGAACCAGCTCTATTATGCTCTTGGGTCATTACGTGGGCAACGCGTAAGGATATATCCTGTGCAATTTGGATTGGCTATCGCAAAGATACTCCCCGAGCTGAAGGCCACCTCCAAAGGCTGTCCACCCGCTCCAGAAGATGGCCCGCGTGGTCTTGAGACCTTTCTTCAGGGTAGAACTGAGAAAGATGAGCACGATTTAGAGGGTTTGTACATAGAGAGCAAGCTCAGCTCGGCGTATGAGTACATCAGGGGGTGCACCAGCCTTCGTATCCCTAGCGAGTGGAAACCCTATGTGCCCCGCGCTTGGCCTGAACCTTGAGTTGTGTGTCTCGCACCACACGAGATCCGAATACTTATGTTTTAAATGTTGGCCCGACTCCGAATTTCGAGCAATTATCGGTAATATTCATCCGCGTAGGAAAAAGGGCTCCCCGAAAAGCAGGTTGAGCGGTCAAAACCCGAAATCTTCCCAAAACAACCCGAAACCTTTCCAAAAAAACCCGAAACCTTCCCGACCAAAACCTGAAATTTGGCTGCAACCTGCTTTTTGGTAACCCGTAATTTACCCGTACGCAACCCGTATTTACCCATACGCAACCCGTAATCACCCGTAACGAAAAACCTGGTTTTTGACCAAGCACTTTTGGGGCCTCCCGAAAGGGTTTAATTCGTGTTTGGCTGCGTTCTATTGGTGGTCTGAACCGCGCCTATGCTACTTCTCAGAAAGACTGCGCAAGATAGAGGATTTTCTCGTGCATCATGCGTGTCACATGCCATGCAGTATATGGCCAGGCGATTTTCTCCAGGTATATTTTGTTCGAGCTGCTGCAATCCTATATAGGATAGTAGGTAGCAGCACAAGGCTGCTTCCATGTCCAAGCGTTGGAGTTGTGCTACTTTGGGAGAAGGGGCCAGGCAGGTTTCTATGGAGGCTTCCCAGGCAACCCCAGACATGGAAGAGCAGGAGCTGTTACGGCAGATTCAGGACTGGATGGAATTGCTTTATTAAGGGCTTCTAGTATGATTTTGACTTCTGAGGTATTCTCCTTTCGCGGATAATATCTGGAAAATGCATAGAGGGCTTAAAGCACTGTCACTGTGAATCACTAATTCTACGGTTTCACTGCGGATTATACGGCGAGGTGTCAAGTCCCCAAGACGCTTTTATAATGAAGGTGCCCTATAGGTTTCGCTACGTAGCTATGTAATTGCAGGAATTGCAGATTGAACTCGCGAACATTGAGCATCCTACAGCTCCTCCTGCTGCTTGCCGTGGCACGGCAGAAGACAACCAGGCTGGTAAATAGTTTCTTGCTGATTGGGCGTCAGCTTGAGGTCAACATAGGTTTCTGCAAATTCAGTCATTGCGCGGAGGTTGCTCTTTTTGGTGGTTCCTCGGATTCCTTGTCGATTTCCGAGCAATCTACGATTCCTGCAATGCTGACGTTTGATGACCCTGGCGGCGACCGCCTGACATGTTTACCTCCTGAAGACACTCGTGAAGACATGTTGCCAAAGCTTGATGGACTTCTGTCAGTGAGCCCACTTTAAACATACGGCAATGTAAGTGCTATCTGCCCGAGGACGAGACTCCATTTCCATCAACGCTGGTGGTGCCGGAGTCTGCTCCTGTTAGCGCTAAGGAGTTATTGAACGAGCCGAGCTTTCCTGAAGAGGGGAAGGGTGCCTCTGATTGCGAGAACGGCCAGAACAAGCAGGATGACAAATCTGAGTCTCAGGCTATTATAACCATAGCGTGCATGCAATTGACATCATATGCGTGCATACATCATGTTCCCCAGTGCCAGGCATCCTTGCAAATCAGCTTATTACCGTAACAAGAATCCACGCGTTTTAGGGTTTGGGGTTTATATAGGGTGCATATAGATCGAGTTTATAGGGTTACAGGGTTTATATATATATAATGTTTATAGTGTTTATAGGGTTTATAGGGTTCATAGGGCTTATATATATATATATAGGTTTATAGGGTTTATATATATATAGGGTTTATAGGGTTTTGGCCCTTTCCCAGACCCAGATGCACTCAGAACAACACCAGATGTCACGAAATTGACTTCAAGTTGAATTGAAAATCCTCTTACGCTACATGTGCGTACTCTTATACTTGCCGGTACTTCATGTATACAGACATCCGATCATGATCCTTTCTTCCCCAACAAACGAACCGTTGTTACTCACGCATTTCTTGAACCCCCCTGAAGCCACGTAGAAAAAGAGCGCCTATAAAGCTTGATAAGTTAAACTCTGAATGCATTTTCCACTCCTGCGTCTATAAGGACCTTGGCAGCGAGCCAGCCGAAGATGATGATGACGAAGGCAAGAAGCCTGCTTGCAGAGCCGCACGCAAGATTGGCAGAGCGCGGGCGCCACTGAGTAGAAGGGCCACTTGACTTCATCCAGGGGTGTTAGCTTTGAATGCTTGGGTAGGTGCAGGGCACGTTTGATGTCTGATTTTGCTCCACGAATCGCACGCTGCATATAAGGCCATGCTGAAGCTTGCAGCAAAACAGAGAATCAGACGGATGGTGCAGCCGAAGCGGAAGAGAACTGACCTCTCAACCCCCGCCTGGCTGAGGGATCGGTGGAACAAGGGCGCAGCCGAGAAAGACGAAATGGCGGATGTCCTCCAGCGCGTGAACCGGGATAAGGCTTGCAGGGTTTGGGGTTGGGATGTGGGGTTCATGGAAGGCAGGGCTGTCTCTATGGGGTTCGTTGGTTCATATGGTTCTCGTATAGGGTTCGTGCGCAAGCTTAGTTCCATCATGGGGTTACAGTGCTGGGTTTTCAAATTAGGAAAGCCAATGTAAGGAATCACTTTACGCGTGTAATGTGCCAACCGTTTGCAAATGTGTTTGGGATGCCTATTTTTATTTATAACTATACTGCCCCTGCCCAGAACCTGTTCGTGAACGAGCTGTACAAGATTGTGGTAAAGAAAGTCGTGGTTGAGATCGTCAAGGATCAAGGATGGTATGCTGAGACACAGATGAAGACCGAATTGAAGTGGTCTGCGTGAGCCCCTCAGCGCAAGCATTCCCAGCCAGCACATGTAGCGTGCAAGAATGTATCCAGGCCATTATAGTTGATCAGACATGTTGCGATTGAGGCAGCGAATATCTGGGGCAGTGGCCCTGTGCAACAAGACCCCAACAACGCACGTCAGCTTGCGTGAAGCCCTGTGGCCGTGCTTGCTTGAGCTCTTATGAAGTTGTGCTCTCAACTATGTGCTGCCAGCTGTGTGCTGATTGCGGCTTATAGTCCGCAGTACCCTCCATAGATACAAACGCCCTCACTGCAAGCTGCGGCCTGAGTAGCGCTTACAAATTTGAATCACACACCGGTGTTTTCTGTGAGACGCTTGACTAGTGTTTCCTGATCAAGGGGGTGCTCCGCTGATCCAGCGCGCCAAGTTGAAAAAGTGGAGGGCAATGACAACCATTTTGATCTTGATGATCTGCTTACACGAAACCATTCTCTTCACCTGACGAAGCCTGTTCTATATATACCTACAAAAGATGAACGCCAGGCGCCGGGCCTGCTCTTCGACGTTGGGTGCAGGACATAGGAGATGGTGCCCGGGCCCTGGCTCCATGCAAATGCTTAGTATCTTTGTGCTCCGCAATTCAACCACGACTCGGAAAGCTTTCCCACACAATTTCTGGAGGCTCATGAGGCAATGTAGCTGCAGTAGCTCCCCTAGCTGAGCAAACATGTTAGAAGACCCAGACTTGGAGCTATGGGACCTGCTGACAAGCCACCGTAGCGCGTCTTGACTATGTTGAATTTTCTTCTTCATTCCTGGTTATGCCTATACGAGACCCTTCGAGCAAACAAAGCATGGGGATGATTCAACTTTCCTTTTGAGTTCCAGGTTTTCCAATATCGAGGTTTGGATTATTGGGTATAACAAGTTGGGAGAGTCCCTTATATATTTATAAGAAAACCCTAAACCTACTATTCTAGTAGACCCTGAAAAATCCCAAGGAGAACGATGGTGCATTTCCATGGAAGAAGCCGGTGGCTCTTTGTGCCTCTGCCTGCAACCCAAGCCCTGCAGATCAACGGGAGTACAAGAAGGAGCTGGACCTTGAACCCTTTCCTTTCAACCCTCGACCTGCCTGGCTGGATATCGACCTACCTCCTCACCTTCTAGCTTCGCCCCAAGTGCTTGAAACCCTGAAGAGCATCGATGCCCATAGAAATCTTTCGTGGAGATTGGGACGGCAAAAAACATCCGGTGGGGTTCTGCGCCATGCCATCGGTTGCTTCGAGTCACTTCATTCAAGATTCTACCCAATGATATTCAAATTTGGCATGACGCAGAATGCAGCCAATAGGTGGGACAACAAGGATTTTGGCTACCGACTCGAAAAAGACAAATGGGATTCCATGGTCATACTTTTCCTTTGCCCTGAGAAGTTCAGCCCTGCTTTTCTGGAAGCCGCACTCATTGAGAAGTACAGGGGATTCTTGGACATAACATAGTATAGTATATTCTCCAATACAGTTTTCTTTTTCTATTGAAAGTTAGAACGCACTTTCTGAATAATATAGAATAGAATCATACTAAAGAAGCGCCCCCATGGTCTCCAAATCATCTACATGCCGGGTTGGATTGTTGTACCTGCGAGCAAAGTTGTTCTTAAGCGTGACCAATCATAGCTTATTGGGCCTATTACGCATTTACAACCCCCGTGGCATCCCATATGTGTCTGATGATCTCCTGTAAATGGCCCTTATACAAGTGGCCTGTGGCTTATCCAAAACTTTCTTTTTTGTTGCAATAATCTTTTCTTTCAACTGTCACTTGCAATGGAGTATAGCAATCAGTCTGCAATCAATGAACCCCTCTAAGTAAATCAAATATGCCCTATAGACCCTTGGAAGCCCCAGCTACCTCAGGTGTGCCTGGATGTCGAAACATCAAGGCTGGCGGAGATAACCTAAGCCAGTCAGAAGATGAGTCAGTGTACATGACATACATCGTGTACCGCAGCTTCAAAGAGAAGCCGAATAAGGGGCCATAATTCATGATAGGCAGTGCATGCCCTGTGTGATAACGCAGCTGCACTCACTTGCGCTCTTTTCCTACATGGAAGGGGGAACCTACGTTTCATCAGCAGTATCTCCGGACAAGAAAACATGTGTCAAAAGTGAAAAGCTTTGCCCTCCATTTCTGATAGCAGTTGCAGGCATGCGTGATCAACATCTTTGTCTATTGACGTCTTGAGCTCTCTCATCTGGTTACTCTCAATCTGTCCTAGCGCTCTGTCATTTTTTGTGCGCCCAGGCCCCATGCAGTGCTGCAATCCGCGCAGCGCGAGCTGTGATCGAAGAGGTTCCGCAAGCAGCGCAGAGCAGCATTGCGCGTATGGCGCGATGTGGAGAAATGAACAGTGAGCGGGACACGCGTCGCATGGCACAAAAGTGCGGTCTTGCCCTCCCAATTAAGATCACAGAAGCAGTGATTGGTTACTGCAAGGTGCCCCTGATTCTGCTAAGTTCTTGGCTGGAGTTTCTGCTGGGCCTCAATTTGTGGCACACGCTAAGTGGTTTGCATGGGCCAGACAATAGCCGCACTGCTTGCCAATGGAAATCTTTTTGGGAAGCATATGAAAAGATTTGCCCTGGCCATCCCGTCTTCGAGCGAGCGCGCAGAGGCGAGATCGATCTCGCGAAATGCGCAGCCTTGCTGCTGCACGGAGATGAGGGGAGAACAAAAAAAAAGCTATATTGGTGGTGAGTGTGCATAGCATTTTAGGCTATGGAAGCCACGCATCTTGGCCTGGACCCGAGAAGTACTGCAAACAAAAGCTGAATTTTTTGGGGCACACCCTGTCAAGTCGTTGGATTCTGGGCGCTCTACCGTTGATGGAGACACGATTTTCCAGGACTACCTGAACGTGTTTGTGCAAGACATGATCAAAGTTTGGGAGCATGGAGTTCGTGGGCCCCATGGCGAAAAATATTCTTTCGTCATATTGAACATAATGGGAGACTGGCCTTTTCACCAAAAGGCGTTTTCATTGAAACGATGCTTCGCCAATGATTCAAAGCAAGCCACGAGCCGGCAGACTGCTAAAGGCATCTGCCACCTCTGCCTAGCAGATCAGGAAAACTATCCCTGGGAGGAATTTGAATCCGCTGAGCCTCGCTGGAGACGGACGCTGAATCCTCCTGAAAGCCCTTTCGTGCGTTTTCCTTCGCTCATGCAGCTACCTCATAACCCACTGCGTCCTGCAACCTTTATCGGTCAGGACATTTTTCACACGTGGCATTTGGGTTGTGGAAAACAGTTTCTGGCGAGCTGCCTAGTACTTCTCTCCGAGACTTACGCTGGTAGAAACATCCCTGCGCGATTCGAATCCATGTCTAAAGACCTGTTTCGCTGGTGTAAACTAAACCATGAGCAGCCGTATATCAGGAAACTGAGTCGGGACACAGTTGGGTGGCCAAGTTCGGCAGATTTTCCATCAGCAACCTGGTCAAAGGGAAGTACTACTACTTGCGTCCTACGATGGTTTCTTTCAGCCTGTCATGAACGATCAGCGCTTATTGAGAGCGGCAGCATTCTTAAAGAAGCTCACGCTGCAGCGAGAGAGATCTATCGGTTCCTGTCCAAGATTTACCGTGAAGATGTCTGGATTGAACGGACAAAGGCCGTTGAGATCAGCACTCACGGCTTCAACTTCTTGAGGCTGCACTCGCGATGTGCTCGCAGGGCGTACGCTGGCAACCGAGCATTGTTCAGTTTTATGCCGAATCTTCACAGATTGCATCATCTGGTGTATAGTTTGTGGGATGATGCGCAAGTTTCAGAGCTATCCCTGAACATCATGGTTTGGAACTGTCAGCCAGAAGAGGACCATATAGGAAGGCCAAGTAGAACGAGCCGTAGAGTAGCCCCTCAGTAGGTGATTCTAAGAACTCTGCAGAGGACGCTGGAAGCAAGTTTCGCGAAATTTGTTGCATCAGGTTTCTTGGTCCTAGCCAGGAACTCTAATTGAAATGATGGGCTCACAGCATGATGGCATCACATAATAAAAAGTAATCAATCTACCTTCAAGTGTTGTGCACAGCCCATCGAAACGTGCAGCAATTAAGTGCCAGGCATGGCTCGCAGAGTGACGAACTCGTTCCCGGAGCCGTCAAAGAGCGCCAACACATGCAGTCAAGACATCCAAGTTGAAACCTCCCAACTCCCAAAACCCCAAAACCTGGTTTTCCCATCAAGAACCTGTGTTTTAAGAGCAACCCACTTTAAAGCGGGTTTTGGTGGCTGAGGGTTCATACTAGGATAAGCCAGCGGTTCGACAACACCAAATTGTCTACAAGCAGATGCTTCAGACAATTTCCTGATATCGAACGGTCCCTTTTTCCTTTTGGTCTTTTATTTGAATAAAACAAGGGCTACCATAGACATATCATCATATCATAAGCAAACGGAAGAATGCGTTTGAGAAAATTTGGTGCTATCGAACCGCCCTCTGCATGTCTTCATACTAGGATAGCCAGCGGTTCAGCAACACCAAATTTTCGACAAGGAGATGCTTCAGATAATGGGTGTTATCGAACCGCCCCTCCTTGTCCTTTATTTGAATAGCATAAGGGCTACCATAGACGTATCAAAGCATCGAAAACAAAGGAAAAGAGCTTGAGAAAATCTGGTACTATTGAACCGCCCCTTGTCCGTCTCCATACTTGGATAAGCCAGCGGTTCGACAACACCAAGTTTTTGACAAAGAAATGCTTCAGTAAAATTAGTGCTATCGAGTCGGCCCTCCGTGTCCGTTATCATTTTGAATAACAGAAGGGGTGCCATAGACATGTCACAATATCGAAAACAAAAGAAGGATGCGCTTGAGAAAATCTTGTGCCATCGAACCGCCCCTCGTCTTGTCTTCATACTTGGATAGGCCAGCGGTTGGACAACACCAAGTTTTTGACAAGGAGATGCTTCAGTAAAATTTGTGCTATCGAGTCGCCCCTCCTTGTCCTGTACTTATTTCAATAACA